AAAAGACATTGATACTCCATTGAAAAACCATAAGGCAATGTACATGATAATATTTGAATCCTGGGTAAATGAGAGGTTACACACCACATTTTGCAACCTAATTGATACATCTAAATGACACATCAATGATAGTCTAATCAGAACAAATCCATACACAATGCTACTACTAATCTGATCACAACAGAAACAATAGCAAAACAAAAATAAGCACACCACTGACACTAGACCTAGTGCATTCTCTTTTGCTCCAACTATCTGTCTTTGAATTTCAGCCAACCCTGAGTTGCCATGCCAATGATCCATTCTACAGTCAGCCATTTCTTTTCAAACACCTAAAAATTCCTCGCCTTCCATAGCCACCATAGAATGTATGTTGATAACTGGATTCTGTTCTCAGAAGTCTCCTTGAAGTCTATTAAACTCAGCCACCACCACCATTCTTTGAAAGAGAGTTTGTCCTCCAACATCCTATTATACTGGGTGAAAGTTTCCAGGTAAGCTGTGCTTTCGAGCAATTGAACAGAGCATGTTCCATTGTTTCTTCCTCACCACATATCTGACAGATAGTCTCAACCTGGACTCCTCTTTTTACCACATGACAATTGACTGGTAGAATGTTAGAGAAGCACCTCCATATGAAATGTCTAACCTTAACAATCACCTTTAGCCTCCAACATCTCATTCTAGCACTTCTGTTCCTTTCTGCCATTGATGTTGAACACATTTTCTCAGACATTAGCAATGAGTAAGCTTTCCTCACAGAAAAAGTACCTTTGTCCACAAATGTGCACTTCTTCATATCAGCTGTTGTGGGGTGCAGAGTTTGGATGACCAGTATTTTCTCAGCCACTTCTTCTTGGAACAGGATTCTGACTAGCACTTCATCCCATTCACATCCACTTGCCAAGATCAAATCTTTTACCCTCAACATGTTACCATCAACCTATATTCTCATCTCATGTTTCTACCCCTTTAGAGTAGGGATCCAATTAAAATCATTCAGCTTTGTGTCAACCCCATTTTTAATAACAATACACATGTGATTTCAGCAAAGGAATAAGGGATGACCATGAATTCCACAACCAAGAAGCTCCACCGGATTTTTGATAATCAAAGACAGAACTTGACGGAAAATACATGTTCTTCAGCACGTTGCTCACTAGTAAATCTGGTTGCTCGAACAGAAAATTAGGCTCGTTTAGCAATTGGACGAACACGAGCTCGTTCGCGAACATTAATTTAATATTTTTTATTTTATTTTTTATATATTTATATTTATAAATATATAAAAAATAAAAACCTAATATATAAATATTTTTATTTTATTTTTTTTATTTTTGAGTATAAGTTTTGAGTTAATCAAGCATATTTATAAAGTTCATGTCTGTTGATACCAAATTTTGGCCTCGCCTATTAAAATATTACACGTGGATATGTTTTATATTAATTATTTTATTTTTTGGGCCTTAAATAATACCGCTTGTGATAATATCGGGCCCATTAAACATATATATAAATACCCCGATGATGGACATCATCGAGATAAGTCTGAGGGGGCGTACTATTATTTTCTCTCTCTTATCTGAACGAAGCAAGGCGGTGCAAGGATCTCATCTCCTTCCTCGTGCTTCTTCTTCTTCTATATTTTCATGAAATATACATACAAAAAATACACAATAAATTACTCTGAACCCCCCATGTTGATCAATTTTCGTGCATCAACAGTTTGGCGCTAGAGGAAGGGGGGAAACCTTCACCAGAAAACAGTTGCTTCCCAAATGATCAATCCATATACCCAACTATTCGAAATTCTATGTTCTATTCTCTGTTTTTCACAAATTAGTTTGGAGTATATCTATCAAGATATGTTCTGCATACTTGCATATTTTTTTCCCTGAATACAATAAGCAGCGGCGAGCAAATATACAACAAAGAAGTTCCACAAGCACAGGTCTCATGGCAGAACAAGCTCAAAATAGGTGCGTGGATTGCGGTAAAATAATCGAGGAAGTCGAGAGGATCCGCAGCGAATACTATACCCTCTGACTGGCCGGAGACATCCCGACAGCAAGGCTCAATGCCACCGTCAGCACCGGCCATAAAGAAAATAATAAAAAGGCAAAATCAATAGGAGAAGCACCGCTTGCGAACGGTCGGTGGTCTCGGCGATAAGAAACTTTCAACAAAAATACATGTTGAAGCTGCCACAATTGTACACGTGGACGTTGCCGCCTGATATGACGGGGCCCACTTCACCTTTATCCTGACCGACATTCTTGAGTTTTGACAAAAACCGACTTCGTCACCTCGGGTTTCGCCGTCCTCAAACCACCATTTCCATTCGGGGCGTTTCGAGGTGTTTCGGGGCATTTTCGAGGTTGGCCCCGTCGGTCTGTGGTGATGTCGGCAGATGATGAGTCTTGCCGAGATAAGTCCGTTTTGCGATTTTGAAAGTCTGAGTTCGGGCCGTTTGTTGCGTGGAGATTCCCGACTACGATTTCGGCAACTTATCAGAAGCGAAGTCGGGCCCGACGTTGAAAGTAAGGTCGAGTCCGAGTTCGGCATGGTTGATTGTGGCCGCTACTAACGTCGGAGATGAAGGTGCAAATGGCTGGAGATGTCGAGGTCGGTTTGACTGTAAAGTTGGCCTCGAAAATGGTGCTTGTGAAGTCGGACCGCCCCGAAGTCGGTTTGAAGACACTCCGAAATGGGTCACTAAAGGCCGAACATTTCATAATCCGACCTTGGCATCTCCGACTTCATCTTTGCCGAGCCACTACATCTCAATCAAATCCCGGCGGCAAGTTCGACCAACCTCATTACAAATTGAAGGCACCGACCTCTTCAAAGACCGGTCGACTTCACCACGGCCAAAGTCGAATCGCTAGCCATCGGACCTTTAAAATTGCCGTCGGGACGACCTCAATTTTCAAGCTTCAATGACAAAACGGAGGTTGTTTCACCTTTTCCGACTTCAATCATCGGCACCAACCGACTTCAATCGTCGGTACCGGCCGACCTTAAAATCGGATCTCCTCGCGGATAAACCGACTTCTAAGTCGCTCCCCGACCACAAATCAGGGGCCCATCTTGAAGCCAAGCCAACCTAACCGAGGCCTATTTCAGAATCGTACTCCAAAATTCATTCCGATTTGGACCTCGGACGGCTGTTAACCTCGCGAATTAACGAGCACGTCGAATAAATCCGCCGACCGATCTCATCTTCTTTAGTCTCAATAGTCGACGGCAAATTCCCCATTTCTGGTTTGAGCCCTTGACGGACGGACCTCCGATTAACGTCACCGCCATCTCTTAAAGAGGAGGACAACGCGGTTTTTGAGATTTGGGATAAAATTGGGCTGGACTGTTTGTTTTACTGAGCTGCTGCTGTATTGGGCCTAGAATATTAATAGGCCCAATTTCATACCGACATAAAAAAGGAGGAGGAGAATTAGTTGAAAATCAAGTCTCCGTGGCCGAGTTTCATTTATTCCAACCAACTTACCTATGACAGGGTCGAGCTCAATTATCACTGTTGGGGCCGAATTTATTTATCCACATCAACAACCAAGTCCTTTATTTCTGACGTCTTATTATTGCTCGCCGTGAGCCATGACTCCGGCTGAGCCGACGTCCTATTATTGCTCGCCGTGAGCCATGACTCCGGCTGAGCCGACGTCCTATTATTGCTCGCCGTTGAGCCTCGACTCCAGCAGAGCTGACATTTACATGTGCTCGCCGTTGAGCCTCGACTCCGGCAGAGCTGACATTTATATTTGCTCGTCGTTGAGCCTCGACTCCGGCAGAGCTGACATTTATATGTGCTCGCCGTTGAGCCACGACTCCGGCTGAGCTGATATTTACATTTTCTCGTCATTAAGCCTCTGCTCTGACTGAGTCCACACTGGTTAGGCAAAGTCAATAAGACCTTTCCGGCTGGACAACATTAAAATACGTCGGCACAATAAAAAGCCGAATCTCAAAATATAATTCGGCTAGCCGACTCTTAAAATATTTTAGTCGGAAATAAAAATTGCCGACGTTCCTTTAAAAATTCAGCGAGTAAAATAAAATGCTGAATATTTTAGTCGGAAATAAAAATTGCCGACGTTCCTTTAAAAATTCAGCGAGTAAAATAAAATGCTGAATATTTTAGTCGGAAACAAAAAAAAGCCGACGTTCCTTTAAAACTCAGCGAGTTAAATGCAATGCTGAGTATTTTAGTCGGAAACAAAAAATACCGATGTTCCTACATATACAATATTCCGGTAAGGCACAACACCTACTGGCAAACAAAGTCAGACTCGACAAAATATCGAGGTAACATCATTTTTCATGCATTAGTCATTTATTGCACGTACTCATCATATATTCATACATTCATATGCGCGTCATTCATGCATCTTGACATAAACATAAAAAGTCAAGCAAAAAATCCTTAAGGACCCATGCTGGTGAGGTGCAATGTAAGACCTTACTGGCAGGGATCATTAAATTTCTTAAGGACCCACACTGGTTAGGCAAAGTCAATAAGACCTTTCCGGCTGGGAAAAATAAAAACAAAAATAATTCGGCTAACCGACGTTGGTACAGTAAAAAGGCCGAATCTCGAAAAATCATTCGGCTAACCGATGTCGGCACAGTAAAAAAGCCGAATCTAAATGAAAAAATAATAAGAAAAATTCTTTACCAAACCCTCAAGTTGGTTTGACAAGGCTAACACCTTACATATTACATCAAAGATCGGGAACACACTGCCCGACCGAGAAATAATTAAATAAAAATCGAAGACTGGATACCGAATTATCCGACCAGATCCACATAAAGAAAAACAAACACAAACCAAACAAAAAATCGCGTCATCTTAACACGACAGAATCGCGAATCCGGTAACAATTCCGGGGGCCCGAGTGCCCACATAATTCTATATCATTATTACCACATTAAACCCTTCGCGTTCCACGCAAAAAACGCGAAAGACGGGTAACAAATTACCCGACTAGGCCATCCAGGCCTCATTCAAAATTCCAGAAAAATTGACTATCCACGTCATTGGCTCCACGGGTCCCAAAGTACCCGACCAACATTGATTAAATTATACATGCGACTTCAGAACAGTTCTTTTTAAAACATGCCCTAAAGTCGGGGGCCTACTGTTGATACCAAATTTTGGCCTCGCCTATTAAAATATTACACGTGGATATGTTTTATATTAATTATTTTATTTTTTGGGCCTTAAATAATACCGCTTGTGATAATATCGGGCCCGTTAAACATATATATAAATACCCCGATGATGGACATCATCGAGATAAGTCTGAGGGGGCGTACTATTATTTTCTCTCTCTTATCTGAACGAAGCAAGGCGGTGCAAGGATCTCATCTCCTTCCTCCTGCTTCTTCTTCTATATTTTCATGAAATATACATACAAAAAATTAGCAAAAAATCCTATACAAAAAATACACAATAAATTACTCTGAACCCCCCATGTTGATCAGTTTTCGGGCATCAACAATGTCCTAAATTATTCGAATAAGAACGAACTCGAACTTTGATGAACAATTAAACGAACGAGCTCGAACATAATTTTTTGTTCGAAAAATAAACGAACGAACACGAACATTGTTCGAACATAAACGAACATGAACCTGAATAGCCCAAACTCAACTCGTTCGGTTCAATTATAGCACTATTACCACGTTTATAGATATTTTAACTATCTACTACTTGAATGAAAAAAAAAATCTATACTTATATAATAAGAATTAACATTTACTCAAAATAGTAGGTCAAATTATGGTCAATGTCGGATTTGCATTAAATATTTTCCAAAACTGGTAAGTTTTTGTCCTTTTCACACTTCTCATCCTTTTCACACTTACACTTCTCATTAATTATGTCATTTTCACACTTCTCATTAATTATGTCATTTTCACACTTACACTTCTCATTAATTATGTCCTTTTCACACTTCTCATTAATTATGTCATTTTCACACTTCTCATTAATTATGTCCTTTTCACACATCTAATTAATTCATTAATTACGACATAATTATCATAAATCATTTCATCTGAGCTTTTATCGTTAAAATGTATAGCGATCTATTATGACCTTATCCCATTGATATTTGCATTAAGCGTCCTTATCGCGTTCTATTTTTTTTGTAACCACTCTATATCAATAACCGGATATTTAGTTAATGATAGCACACGTCTTAATTTCAAGGAGCGGATATTCTTTGACCTTTAATTAATCTGAAATGATTGTCTTGACTTTTCAATTTTTAAAAACTCTTTTTTTAAATATTTCGGCTTAAGATTCGGATTTCATTATACAAGTCATCGGATTGTTTAAATGAAAATGAATGAAAAGAACACCAAAAACAGGTAGCCTTATTCATATAACCAATCCTAAAATATTAGTTTGTTCACAAAAAAAGACAAATCTTAGAAATCCTAAAATATTAGTTTGTTCACCAATCTTAAAATATTAGTTTGTTCACCAAAAATATTAGTTTGATTTTTAGGATTTGTCTCTTTTGAAAATATTAGTTTGTGATAATGAGGAGTTACCAAATAATCAAACTCATAATGTTGTGTACAAGGAGGTTTTTAACAATATATGATTGTTACCGAACTTTTTATGATTCAACAATGTTCCTATGTATTTTAATGATTTCAATTTCGATCCTAATGCACGTTAGGTTATATTATTCTTTGAAATTTTACATCCCGTGCATCGCACGGGTTACGTACTAGTTATAAATAAATGAAGACGTTGCTAAACTGCTACTTAAATAACCATTAATGGCAGTCATGGCGAAGATAAATACATCACGTTCAACCTTAAAATCACATTATATTACACCAACTTCCATAAATGAAACTAAATAATTAAATATGTTACACCTACTTCATTTCACCGACCCACGTACAACTCCTACTGTATGACGTACAAGTCCTCAGGCACCCACCGAACTTCCCATAGGAAGCAAAACCACAGCCCGACCCGTTAGCCCGACCCACCACCTACCAGCTGGCGCTCTCTAATTGGGACCCACGCGCGTAAGGTTCGTAGAGAGAGAGAGAACGAGCGAGTGTTTTCCCGGCTATATATATAGTACCCACTCCGATGAAGAAATTCGCTCTGCACTTAGCTTGTAACTGCTAAATCTAAAGCTCATTCTTCCTTCGTTCAAGCTCGTTTTTCTCCGAGGTAATATTTCCGGCCGATGGTTAATCTCCGATCATCAGATCTGTTAATAGCTCATAAACCGTTGTTTAGATCTGCATTTTTCTGTTTTTCTTTCGATTTTATGCTCTTTTTTTTTGGGTTTGTGAAGGAAATGTTTCGTAGAATGATGGACTGGTTTGATTTATTTTGAGATATCTGAATTATTTGCTTTATTTACTTGGACTCAGATCTATATAGCATTTTTTTTTGGGGGTTCTTTTGGAACAGAAATGAATGCTGTGATTATCAGTTTGCGGATCTGTGAGTTGTGTTCTGAATGTGTGATTTGATGCTTATATTGTCTTTGCTTGAGGTTGTGTAACGGATTGTGATCTGCTAGGTATCACGTGTCGGTGACTGTAGGATTATAGATCTGTATTGCATTGGCCGTTGGCTGTTATTGAAGAGTCATTTTTGGCTATTGTTTTGTTTAATCTTTAGTGCATCATGTTTAGATCTGTTAAATGAATCAACCGCCGCTTGTGAGCTTTGTTCGGCTCGTCGAAAGTTGTAATTTTCTATAGCCAGACTTGTCGAGGCTCGATTTTGACTTGTTGATGTTGATAAACAAGCCGAACTCGAGCTGGTTTAGCTTGTGCAGATAAAAGCTAGAGCTCAACCCGACTCGTTTACACCCTCTCTAATCACGCTTTTTGTTTACAGTAAAATTTTGTATATGTTTATTGTTTTGTTTAAAAATCAACTAGCTGCATTTACATTAGATCCAACTTCTGGCTGCAGATTTTTGTTATCTTACCCAGTATTAGTTAAAGTTTGTAATCTCTTGTGTTACCAGCCCAATGCCGAAATTCATTTTCTGAATAAAATTGGAATGAAGTCCATTGACAAGCTTTTTTCTCAGATTCTGCAACTAATTAGTCTAGTCAAATGTATACTTTTATGTAGTTTTCTATAGCTCCACTCATTAAGGCTCAAGTTTGGCTTGTTAGGGTTCGAGCTTTGCCTTGTAATATTAATAAACGAGCTTATTTCGTTAATGCTCAGCTCAATAAACACTCGAGTATCAGGAGCACCCTAATCACGTTTCTTGTTTACAACAGTAAAGCTTTTGCGAGATAGTATATGTTTATTGATTTGTCCAAAATAAACAAGCTACATTTACATGTGATCCATCATTTCCATGCAGATTTTTTTTTTGTCCACGATTTTTTTTTTTTTTTTTTTTCAAGTCTTCCCCATCGAACTGCATTTTCTGAATACAACTGGAATGAAGTCCATTGATAATCTTTTCTCTCAATTCAGCAGTACTCAAGATTCTGTAAATAAATTAGTCTAATCAAACATTAATTATCTATTTCAGACAAAACAAGAAGACAATGGATACCTTCCTCTTCACATCCGAGTCGGTTAACGAGGGCCACCCGGACAAGCTATGCGACCAAGTCTCGGACGCCATCCTCGATGCCTGCCTCGCCCAAGACCCCGACAGCAAAGTCGCCTGCGAAACATGCACGAAAACCAACATGGTCATGGTCTTCGGCGAAATCACCACCAAAGCCCAAGTCGACTACGAAAAAATCGTCCGCGACACGTGTCGCGAGATCGGCTTCACGTCCCCCGACGTCGGCCTCGACGCAGACAACTGCAAGGTCCTCGTCAACATCGAGCAACAATCCCCCGACATCGCCCAAGGCGTCCACGGCCACCTCACCAAGAAACCCGAAGAAATCGGGGCCGGCGACCAAGGCCACATGTTCGGCTACGCCACCGACGAGACTCCTGAGCTCATGCCCTTAACCCACGTGCTCGCCACGAAACTCGGCGCCAAGCTAACCGAGGCTCGGAAAAACAAGACTTGTCCTTGGCTAAGGCCCGACGGCAAGACCCAAGTCACGGTCGAGTACAAAAACGAGAACGGCGCGATGGTCCCGATCCGAGTCCACACGGTCCTCATCTCGACCCAACACGACGAGACGGTCACCAACGACCAAATCGCGGCCGACCTCAAAGAGCACGTCATCAAGCCCGTCATCCCGGCACAATACCTCGACGCGAACACGATCTTCCACTTGAACCCTTCGGGCCGGTTCGTCATCGGGGGCCCGCACGGCGACGCGGGCCTTACGGGCCGGAAGATTATTATCGACACCTATGGCGGGTGGGGGGCCCACGGAGGAGGGGCATTTTCGGGAAAGGACCCGACGAAAGTCGATAGGAGTGGGGCTTATATTGTGAGGCAGGCGGCGAAGAGTGTGGTGGCTTCGGGCTTGGCTCGGAGGTGCATTGTCCAGGTGTCGTATGCGATTGGGGTTGCCGAGCCGTTGTCGGTGTTTGTGGACACGTATGGAACGGGCACGATCCCGGATAAGGATATATTGGGCCTTATCAAGGAGAATTTCGACTTTAGGCCGGGGATGATTGCGATTAGCCTCGATTTGCTGAGGGGAGGTAACTATAGGTATCAGAAAACGGCGGCTTACGGGCATTTTGGGCGTGATGACCCGGATTTTACCTGGGAGACTGTGAAGGTACTGAAGCCTAAGGCTTGAGGTTTTGATTGGTTTGTGGAATCGTGTGCGAGTTTGGACGAGTCGAGCTTGGCTGGATCTANTTTTCATGACATTGTTAATCATTGGGATTATTTTCAGTTTTTTGGGTTATGGGGCTTGGATGGAGTATTTTGTTGAATGTGTTCAATGTTGTTTTGGAATTCTGCAACTATATTGTTTGGGGTAATCTTTGAAATCTTGTTGGTTTGTGTATGGAGATATTTGTCAACTTTGTTTAAAGTTCTGTAGCAAAGCTTGGTTATTGGGTCTTTCACGCTCATGTTGATTGCATTTGAGAACAATTTTCACCTTAGATTTCAATCAATAATATATGGTCCAACTGAACACTAAACCAATTTTTCCCGTACAAGTTCACCTTAAATATAGCTGTAGGAAATTACACTCAATTTCAATAAATTCAGCAATATTTTGACTTTTAATCTTCCTACCGTGTGATCACAAATATAGTGATGTGTTGATCATAATTAATATCTACATTATAGAAATTAATGTTGTTCACGTGTATATATATATATATATATATGTTTTTTTTTTTATTTTATTTTATACCGAAGTTCCAGACTTGCGCCTACTAGTCCTCGAGGAAACAGCTCCGGTCCCTCAGACACTGCCTCCAGTTAAACCGCGGTAGCCACACAATGGCTCCCAATTTCATACCCTCAACTACCACGCACAAGGAGTCGATCCCCAAGTGATCGCTCGCTGGCCCTCCCAGCTCCAAGTTGGCCCCACCTATCCAGCCGCTGGTTCCCACCGAAGTGATCGCTCGCTGGCCCCCCCAACTTCATGCTGGCCCCACCTATCCAGCCGCTGGTTCCCACCGAGTTTCAGCCTCCCACACTGCCGCTTCTAGTCCTCAGTATTAATTGTTCACGTATATTCTTTTACACATTCTAGCTAACTAAGACAAGAAGGTAGAACAATACTATTACAAATTTCAAAGTATTTAATTATTTTTTCTTATTTATAAACTTTTTATTTTGGCCAAGTTGACTATATTGTGAAATATTCTGATTGATTACATTGTGCAGTAGAAAGAGTTTTTGAATTTTCAATTTGTGAACATAACAATTATCTTACACTGTTTATAATTCATCTAGTTAATTGACATTTATTAAAATTTATATAATTATAATGTTTAAGTGTTGGAAATCCCCAACTTTTATTTCTTTCTACTCTTCAAGTGTGAATGGTGTCCAAGAACTTTTATTTATTTCTACTATCCAAAATGTTTGGGTACAAATTTTTCTAAAAAAAATTCAATCATTTTTAACTAATTATTGTTTTAACTTAAAATTAACTCAGCTCCACTATCCTCAATATTATTAATATAGTTAGATAATATCACTAAATTATTCTTACACATTACATCAACTTTAATTCACTATTCATCAATTCACATAGTTTTAAATAATCATCACTTCACATCATCTCTCTTCTGCTTTTCCACCAAATTAACTTTAATAATTTTATTTTAAATATTATTTTAATATTAACTCAAAATCCTACTACCAACTAATCAACCACTTTTTCAAAATCAACCATACCAAACTAAAAAATACAAATAAAATCAAAACATCTTATATCTAAGCATATAACTTTTATTTCCTCACCAATTCCTCAAACTCTTTAAGTGTTCTTATATTTCCTTTTATTCTTCAAGTGAACGATACTTGAATCATGTATAAATTTTATTTTCTCTGCCAAAAATTTTATGGAGCCATCCACCACTTAATGTGTTGACACATGTTCAAATTGTATTTATTGTAGGGCACATTTCAATACACTATTTGTGAATAAGTGTCGATAGCCCCATAAGTCGATCCATCCAATGAATACATAGCAAAACTGTCTCTTCTGCTCTTCAAGTGAGAATAGTATATGAGACTCTTAGCATATAACTTTATAAGGGGACTCTTTAGCATATAACTTTTGGTATCTAGACAAAATTACATAATTCTTACTTTATATTATTTTATTCTATGTGCTACAATGAGACTCTCACCATATATTTTTTATTTTATACTACAAGAGTGAATGGTATATGTGACAAAATTGAATAAGTCTTACTTCTATTTTCTACTTTGAGAGAGAATGGTATCTAGGACAAAATTGAATAATTCTTACTTTTATTCTATATACTGAGACTTTCTTATTTTATTATTATTTTATTTCATTATTATTTTATTCTATAGGGCAACAAATCTTAGACATCTTCAATGCATTAGTACATTGCTTCTTATGTGGTTGGTATCCATGTAGTAAATTAAATGAACAATGAGTAATTTAGTATAGATAAATATACTTAACTACACACGTAAACATTTGAGGGTNCTAATTTTGATTTGATAATTCTAAATTAATTTGAAATCAATTTAAGTTTTGTAAACCGTATTCCATTAATACGGTTTTTAATATTAATTAATGTTTAAAAAAAATTTAAATTAAAATAAAACGTATAAAGGAAATACGTTTTTTAATATAATTAAAAAATTAAAAACGTATTGGCAAAATACGGTTTTTAACAAAATATAAGTAAAAAAATCGGGTCTCCTCCATTTCTGCGGAACTGAAAGTCACTGAAGCTGCGCGAGCGAAGGAAAAAAAAAATTCACTTCCTATCCATTATTCACCTCAAAATAAAAAAAAAAAAAAGCTTTTAACAATCAATCGATTCGGAGAAGAGGTTAGTTGTTATTTTAATGTAATGTAATTACATATTTTATTTTGTTTATGAATTTGTAAGAAATACTTGGTGGTTTTGATGAGTATAGTTTAGAAAAGATTTATTGTTGATTTAATAGTTGTGTTAAATGATTATACATTGTTCTTGGATGATGGGTTTCGGTGTATGTTGAGAATATCTGCGAAAATTGGATGATTTGTATTGTATTGTTGGATTATGAGAATTAGGGTTTTGGAGAGTTATTTTATAAAATAATTGGCGATTTTTTTTTGTTAGTGTAGTATTAATTGGAAATATTTATCTTGAATTGAGTAAAAGAATAATTGAATTTTTTGGGTGTTGGGTTAGAAAGTATGTGTTGTTGTAATTGAGAAGAATTGTTTTTTGCAACAGGTATAAATGGCGTCTACTGGACCATACTTTGTTAATGTGTATTGGAATTTTCCCAAGGAGTTGTTATATGATTTTTCAGATTTTAAAAACTCTTCGGATGGTTCATTTAGCATTGGGGAGAAGATATCATTTAAACAATTGTAGATATTCTTTATGAAAATTTTGGGTTTCATCGAGATGGTTGGATAATTGAGGAGATTAGTTTACTGACTAACCAACGCGATGGTTCGTGGAATATTGGAAACCTGAATACTGATAGTGCTCTTGAGTGGATATATTATTTCACTCCTTTCTCGTATGTGTATTTGCATTTAGAGTTGAAGCAGGTTACGCAGGCACCTACAGAGGTTACACAGTTTGAGGATGTTGCCCCTTTTTACGGGGGAGTGGCTGATGTTGAGGGTACGTCCACTTCGCATGTTCGTAATTTTGGCGAAGGGACAAGCTCAACAGTTAGAGAATGCGATAATGAGGGTGATGATGATTTCGTTCGCGGTGAAGACGATTTCACAGATGATACCTCGGAAACGGAAACAGATAGATCAATAAACGAGGAGAGTGAACCAGAATTTATTGAAGAACACCCATTTCCTAGTACCGGTCAGCACGTGTATCGCGAGATGGGTGAGTGGGACCTGCCGTGTGTGGACCGTGATGAGTATGCCTTGCCAATGTGGGATGGGCATGTCGATACTATCCGTTTGGGTACTGTTTTCCGGTCCAAGGAACAAGCACAGCCGGGTATCATGAGTTGGAACGTTAGTAGGTTGAGGGAGGTTAAGACAACCTATTCGAATAAGAAAACATTCAAGGTGGTGTGCACATCTAACGAAGATGAACCTTGTCCGTGGATGGCTCGGGTGACGCACTGCACACGGGTTCATGAACTGTGGGAAGTAAGAGAATGGACTGAGAGGCACAGTTGTATGCAAGAAGTCGAAAAAAATGACCACAGAAATGTAACCGCCACAATGATTTCAAATCTTGTCATGACCAAGATTCAAAAGAAACCCGACTACAGTGTTACCCTGATCCAGGAGGATGTTAAAAAATGTTGGAAAGTCGATGTGAGCTACAACAAGGCATGGCACGGGAGGAAAAAGGCCATCGATCGTTTGTATGGCACTTGGGAATCGAACTTCGCGCAACTCCCTCAGTAAGAAAAAAAATTATTAAAAATGTACGTGTTATTTGTCATTATGTTTATGTATTGACGATTACGTTTTGTAACGTCTTTATTCTCGTCCGATTAATCAGGTCTTTAAAAGACCTATCAGACTGTGTGTGGAATGACTGATTTGATTAATATTTGTGCAGGTTTTTTGCGGCGCTTCAAAGAGCGAATCCCACTACGGTTGTAGAGTGGGAATGGCAAGGTGGGGAAATGGCGACCCACTATCAGCACAGAGAATTCAAATTTGTTTTCTGGGCGTTTGGTCCCGCCATTCAGACCTTTCAGAGATGTCCGCCGGTAATTAGCATGGACGGCAAACATTTGCGTGGCTCATACAAGGGGAAGTTGCTTGTGGCCGTTGCACAGACTGCGAATAAGCGGCTATTGCCAATCGCCTATGCGATTGTGGATGAAGAGAGCCAGGAAAGCTGGTCATTTTTCCTGACAAATCTCCGGCAACATGTTGTCGGTGACAAACAGATATGCTGTCTTTCGGACAGGGATGCAGGCTTACAGAGTGCCGTGGAATCGTTGCAAGCTTGGCAAGAACCTGCTGCATATCACCGGATTTGTCTTCGACACCTTCGGAGCAACGTCGTTACTAGGTTCAGGAATAACAAAATCCGAAATTGGTGTTGGGAGTTGGGTTCACAGATTTCAGAGAAAAAATTTGAACAGATTCGATCGCGGCTTTCGAATTTTAATTCGGACGCATACGATTATCTG